GTTATCTATGTTCCAAGCACAGTTATGTAATATGGTGTCAATGGAGTTCGGATGCCGCCAATCAATAGCTGGACGGGTCTATCTGAATTGTTTATAAAGTTCGAAGTTCTTGTTGATCGAATCTTGTCATGGATTGAATTTGTGTTGCTAATCAAAACAAATGAGTTCTTTGTTCACTCCTGGATATCTCTTGTCCGGAGTCGCCACAGAATCCGGTCTCCTCTCATTAAAAATTGAATAACAACTTTCGGTGAATTATATTTCGTCACGGACACAATTCCAGCAAAACACATTCATTTTGTTTAGGTTAGATAGAATCCGTACTCAATTTTAGTTGGTTGAACGTCTATAAACTGTGTAGTCTCTAACTTGGAACCTTGTATCCTAGCCATGCTGGTCATACTTACACTCATAAAACTCTTCAAGCTGCATATGGATATTTGCATCCTATGTTCCTCAGTGATCACCCATAGGCGAGGGCCGGCGAGGTCGACCTCGCCAGCTCAGCGATGTTGAGCCTCACCCACCCCTGACGAGGCTCGACCTCACTGGCCCTCGCCTCCGGCCAATCACTAAACAAAAAAGAAAGATAAAGAAAAGGAAAATAAATAAATAAATAATTCAAAAAATTATGAAAATATTATTTAAAAATGTTCACGTCAACATTGACCGCATCACGTAGAACAGCTGATGTCCATACCAGTGATTTCTAGCCAAAATTGGCCGAATGGACTGAATTAGCACAAATACAAAAGGTTTAGGACTCAATGGCAAAAAAAAGTTTAATATTGAATTGACACAATTGCAATATATTTAGAACTTTTTTGGCAATTTTCCCGTTAGATTGGAGGAAAATTAGAAAATAACTGGGTGGGATGATCTCTCGTTCCATTTGAGAAAAAAAAAAGGACAAAAATTCCCGTCTTTGGTAGATTTGTGAAAACTGTGGTAAGTTTCACATTTTTTTAATTAAAAAAGTTGCTGGTAAATTGCTTACCCATTAATTTGTTAGTAAGTTACCAACCCTCATATTAAATTGCCAATGTTTATATTATTGTTTACAAATTACCAACTATTCCAATAAGTTGTTAACTTTTATCAGGAAAGCTCATGAAAGTGTTGAAGTTATCAACTTTTATATGAAATTACCAAAATTAATTTGAGTGGCTACTGACATTTTTTCCAATGAAGTTGTCAATTAGTTTTAGATAATCAACTATCATTCGAGCCACTAACCAATAGGTTGGCCAAGTCCCAATTGCTCCCAGCTTCTCAAAAGTTTCATTTCCTTAGAAGCTTTTTCAATTTTGTCCATACGGGAAACTATTAAATTAAATTTTCATGGAAAATTATCTCTCAGGTGTCTGGCACAAGAAGGCTATTTCTTTGTGGTCACCTATAATGAAGGGCATGGCAATTCATGTTGAGTTGCACGTGTGAGTTGTGTTATAAAATCTCATATCGGAGAGTTGGTGTGTTATTGAGCAATTAATAAATCATAGTTGCTTCATAACTCATTGCTTTAAGCTTTTGAGTGAAGATTGGTTCAATTGGATATGTTGACAGACTTGAAGCTGCTCTCTTTGGCGATCTCCCAGATGAAGATATCGGGTTTCTGCTAGTCTCTTTCACTTGTGATAGCTCTTTCCTCCACCTCCATTTCTTTGGCATTGCCATTGACAAGCTTGCGCTCTCTCTCTCTCTTGGCTTCTCCATTTGTGCGGTGGATGGTCTGCTCTGTCGTTCTTCCTCTCCTACTCCATCTTTTGTTGGATGTCCATATTGTCTCAATAATTAAAGAATTGATTTAATTATTGAGGGAAGCAGAACTTTCATGCCACTTCGTAATCTCACCTGCCAACTTTTAATTAGAAAACCCAGTTTGGGTGATTCTGTCATTGAACAATCATGTGAGACATGTCTGTCTGTATGGATCTTTTATATTGTGGTTGTTTTTATCAACTGCATCAACAATGAAATATGACCAATATAAGCATTTATTGTGTTGCGGAAGCAAGCGATCGAATAATAAAATAGACAAAATAAGAAAATAAATCGGACGCCAGATTTATGTGATTCGGTTGTAGTAGCATATATTCATGAGAAGAGCAGTAATGAATTTCACTATAGATCAAGTGATACAACGAAAATTACAACCACACTCGAGTCACTCAAATACTCTTAATGTTTTTTAGGCCCCAATAACACCCAATTACATATACCGTGTTTAGCCCACAATTTCTCACGAAATAATTTCTCAATCTCATAAAGGAATTATACTCAAATTCGTTTCACAAGAATTTAATTGGCTTCAACACACTCGGATATCTTCAGGGTGTAATTTACATGCAGAAGCTCCTCTTTGATACTCTTCACAAAAAATATCCACTTCTTATATATAGGCAAAAATTGGATCCAAAGTAGGAAACTTTATTTTAGGAAGCCTGAAACCTATTCAAAATAGTAAATCTACTTGAATTAGAAAACTTTCTTTTTTGGACTCAAACTCGAGACATATTTTCAATATACTGTTTATGTCAATATGAAAAACTAGGTGTATTCATTAGCTTTTGGTGATGCACCAGTCGGCGTCGTTGACTTAGGAGTCCATAAGAAAGTAAAATGGTATTCCTTGTGTGCACGTACAATTGTATGTGAGATGGTTACGTTGATTGACCATATTATCCAATGATTCAATGGAAGGGATTTAAGTGTGAAGAAAGGTAAAAGTTTATTTTTGAATAAGTAGATGGTTACTCAGCATCATCGAATAAAAGCATTTCCATCAAGGAAATAGGTAAGGTTTAGATTTAAAAAATGCACGAAAAGAAGTAAAATCGCATTGTGAGCATGAGAGAGAGAGAGAGAGAGAGAGAGAGAGAGAGAGAGAGAGAGAGAGAGAGAGAGAGAGAGAGAGAGAGAGAGAGAGAGTTGAATAATGAATAGATTCCAGAAAAGTGATCAAAATTGAAGACTAATATATGGAAGGAAGTAAAAACGAAGTGATGGATTTAATTTAATTTAATTTAAATATAAAAGAGTGCCTTAAATCATATGATGAAAAGTCTTGTGGTGTGGTCTTTTCTTAAACGGTAGAAAAATCTGAAGTAATGTGGTCATTCGATGATGAGAGAGTATTGTAAACAAGTAAACAAATGAATATAGACTTACTCGAACACGAAAGAATTTTTCGTAAAATAGATTGAAACACACTTTTTTTTTATCTAATTATCAAGTTTCATGAAAAAAAAAAAAAACAAACACACTCACAACACTCTTGAAGGGAATACTATTTCATTAATAGAGTCAACTCTCCACGGGAGGACACAACTTTACCAATTTATTTGGAAGCACACTAGTTCATAATAACAAAAGTACAATGATTTATTGTACGAAAATAATAAAAATTGATTTAAATATTGTATCTTGTGATCATAGAAATTATGTACAAGGTAAGGATAAATTAGAAGATGCAGGCAATGCGGAGCCGGCCATCAATGATGATACCGACCACCACGTCCAATGTGTGAAACGCGATATTGCTCGACTTGGGCAGCTGCAGTTAACTAGGCCACGTTATTCATCGTTCATTTAGCCAAGTCAACTCCCTCCTGCTCGTACAATCACATCTAAATATCAATTCGGCTATTTAAGAAGTATTCCACAATTCAATGAGGCCGAACCCCCACGCACCCAGTGACAAACTTGACACGTCACAAACCACAATCCACTCATGGAATGCATTAGCAATCCGTTCGATAGAACTGTAACTGTACCGTGGCGTAACTTTGTTGTGATGCGTGCTATGATTTTTTTATTCGGCAGCGCATGTTTCGAAAGTACAATGCCTTGAAATCGAGAGAGATGGCTTCTCAAAAGTTGTTGGGGGTATTGGTGTTGAAACAGTCACATGTTCATTAAATAACTTACAAAAGTCGAAACACTTTTCTATTTCATTATTACCGTGACCGCGTAGGAATTACACCAAATAATCTCTAAACAGTTTTCGACGAGCGACATCTTATCAAGAGTCCCGATTCTCGGACTATTCATCTTAGATGCAGCGAAACTCACTAATTGTTGGTGTGGTAAAAAATCTGTTACAACTTCGAAGTTACCAAGGCACGGAAGATTGTTGTCCAGGGTCCAATGTACATGTATATTTTTTTCTTTGATGGAGGTCTAACTGCCTGTATATTTCCACGTCTTTTTCGTTTATATTTTACTGTATATTTCTAAGTTTTTAATCCTCCGTTCAGGTCAGAGCAAGTCATGTCACGGTTTGTTTTTGGGCCAAAAGGGAAAAAAATAAAAAAATAAATTCACGGTCGGTTTGCTAGGGTTTTCCAAACAGTGGATGAGAAGAGAAAGTGAGACGGAGACGTGTTTTGCATGCAGAATGAGCCTTAAGGCCTCGCAGTCTAGATTGATAAGCAATAAAAAATCGAGATTTTATTAGACCAAAGCTCCCACTGGCGATTACCAAGATAGAATGCAGTCTGCCACGTGAGACTATGAAGACGTAATTTATTATTTAAATATTCTAACATTTTTTCTTATGCGTAGAGGCAAATAGAGGCCCGGGAGATTTTAACTCATGACCTTCGATTTTGATATAATGTGAAATTTTATGTGATCATTGCCATTTATTTTAAAAATTTAAGCTTTTAGATGAATGTATAATTTATTATATAAAATATTTCAACATACCGCGTGAATTTATCTGTTACTTAGACTTTTTTTGAGACATACAAGTCATGTTGCTCTCAGGTTCGCCTGGGTTGTCCAATAAGACAAAAAAGAATTTCGATGATGTGTGAACATCATGTCAACGTTTTCCTGTGTGTATCATTCGGTACGGTGTATATATATGTGCGTGTGTGTAAAGATAAACTATGCGAGAATTCGAAAGTGTGGCATTAAAAACTCGCACACGCACACAGAGAGAGAGAGAGAGAGAGAGAGAGAGAGAGAGAGAGAGAGAGAGAGAGAGAGAGAGAATGGCGGATGCGGGAGGATACAAGATATCATTAGAGTCCACGCCGACATGGGAGGTGGCTCTGGTGTGCTTCACCATTGTGCTGATTTCTATCACTGTTGATGCATTTCTTCATTGGGTCGGCCGGGTAATAACTCTTGCTTCCTAAGTTCTGAGAGTATCGACCTCTTCTAAAGTCCAACTTCGACATGTCGATCGGGATGCCGACAATTCTCTAACTCAACTTTCCTTGTAAAGTGCAGCGTTTGGAGACGGACAGAGAGTGGCCGCTCAAAGGCGCTTTGCAGAAGATCAAAGATGGTGAGGGATCTGTCATTTTTTTTTTTTTGGTGACTGTGTCACAATACTAATGTGCAAGCATATGAATTCTTATTTTTGGGTTTTTGGATTACAACAATGATGGCAGAGCTGATGTTGCTCGGTGTCATATCGCTGCTCTTAGCGGTGTCCCAAACTATCATAGGGAAGATTTGCGTATCGGAGCAACTCAGCAAAGTCTGGCTTCCCTGCAAGAAGCCCGACTCTTCATCCACTGTCGCCAATTTCACTACCAGTTCCTTCCCTTCTGGCGCAACACGAGGACGCCGCCTCCTCGCCATGGCTTCTAATACTACTGATTACTGCGGTCAAAAAGTAACTTTACCAAAGCTGCTTCTTCTCCTCCTTCTATAACTTTAGAGATCTTAAAAATTTAGAGGCAAGTATGAAAGATTGATATACAAATTTGTATGATGAACTGTAAACAGATATTAATAAGTGGATAGTGTTCTGTGATCGATTAAGAGTCGACCGCATCATTTATTGCGCCAATTTTTTATACAAGTCTTTGCACATCTCCAGTGTTAAGAGAGATCCGAAGACTACGACGAGTTGATACGATCTCACACAGTGAATTTTGGTGCAACTCTTTTTATCTTTTTTTTCAGGGGAAGGTGGCATTTTTATCCGTTGAAGCAGTCCATCACCTGCACATTTTCATATTTGTGCTGGCCACGTCGCACGTGGTCCTCTGTCTACTCAAAGTACTATTTATGGTGTGCTATGACATCCCTGTCACTTCAACTATATCTTTCTGTTAGTTCTGCGACTTTTACTCCAAGAGAAATATATTGTATTTTTTTTTTGGGTCTGGGAAATATATCGTATTTAAGTTTCAAGAGAACATGCAAAAAAATTGTACTTGATTGCACGTGTACATTGTTTGATATTTCAAAAGGTTTCAAGTGTTTTGAGTATTTCATTTAGAAAGTTTTCCAATTTTCACAAAGAGTTAAAAGTGAAAAAGTAAAACTCGTCCAAATTAGGAAAATCACTAAAATATGAGAGTTACCTCTTTAATCAATTTTGTAACGTTAATTTCGTCCTTCCATGCTGTTAGATAATTCAATGGAAGAATTTGAATACGAATATGTTTGAAGCAGTGACCAGAGAAGATGTTGACAAAGGTAATGCCATCGAATTCATCCTCCTCAAACTCAAGCAATGTCGTCAAAGGAAGGAGAGGACGAGTGATCTCACTCACTCAAAATTCTTGTACCGTCTCCAAAAAATTTTCTAATCTGATTGAGGTATTTCTATTCTGTGTGGATCTACAGAACGCGAGAAATTGAGGCGGTCTTATGAAAACCCACCTGGCTTCTTCAAATCTTTGGTAAGTCATTGAGTCTCTTGAAGCTCCCCTTTACTGCAAAACGAGGAAGAGTTTGTAGGCTCTTCCGAAATTGAGTATATCATTACCACCTCAACTGTCATGCAATTTTCGAAATGTTCTGCCGTCTAATTTCATTGGATATATATGATTTTCTCTTTTCGAAATTTTTAACTTTGCGTCTTCGTTCACAAAGACTGTATTTTTAAATATATCAAGTTAAGGGTATTTAGAAGCTTGAAATGAGCAATATATTTATATATATATATATATATATATCGTATAATTGTTCTGGAATGCGATATTTATGATTAACTGGAAGGAAGAGTTCTTCGACGAGAGGCTCAGCATTGTCTTACATTTTCCTCTTCTGCAGAGGGTAGTTATGCTGAAAGGGATTACCTTATTGTCCCCGGATGAGTACCACGCTCTTTATGTGAACTTCGTAGGGGTACGTATAGGACATTCTTATTGTGAAATTTTATCTTGGTCCTCATTGTAATATAATTTGCGTTGAAATGGTTAAATTAGCTATCATTTCTGTCGTGTCCTCAGGCATGTGATCCGAAAGATCCAGGGACAGATCTTCGGAAGCACATAATGTGGACTTTGCAAAAGGAATTTGAGCAAATGATTGAAATCAGGTACACCGATACCGCTTTTATTCAAAGCTAATTAATTAGGCTTGAGGAGCAACGAATGGAACAGAAAAGAAATGAAATAAGAGAAAGAAGAAAGTTTTTCCTTTTTTTTTTCATTTTGCTAGGATGAAATAATGAGTTGCGGGTTTTAACAGTAGAACGTTATCGGATCAACCACTCTTTCTCCGACATTGCTAAATTCATGAAAAACAATACAATATGACTTTTCCAGGAAAATAATACTTATAATATCAGAGAATGTTTTAGCTCTTCTTCAGGCACACTAATTTGCATTTTTCTTGACATTGCAGGTGGTACTTGTGGTTATTCGCAGTGATTTTTTTGCTCGTGAATGTAGCCGGTGAGTGACTTGAGCACATAAATGCATAATTATTCCGCATTGCAACATTAGCGACAATTACAAAGTTTGTGACTATTACAATATGTCTCATGTTTGAGAACCCGATCCAAGTCGAAATTCGAAATCCATATAGGACTTGTGGTTTGACGTCCGAAGAAGCAAGAAAATATTGAAATACTTTCCACGTAAGAGTTGAATTCCTAGTTTGAGTCAGCAAATTATTACACACTAGAGCAAACAAGAGTAGTTTTAGGGTTCTCTGTGTGTGTAGGTTTTCTGAGTGAACTCTCCGTGGAAGATTGTGAGATCACTTGCGGATTTTGCTTTGGGATGTAAAAAATGGCTGGGAACAAATGAGCAACCGAGCAATTGTAAACTCTATATTCTCTTATTTAATAGTGGATTTCTTTGCGGTTGACTCTCACCGCAAAATACATACTGATACTCGGACCGAACTATGTAAATATCTGGTGTCCTTACAATTATGGTTGACTTCTCTGATTATATATTTCTTCTTGCGGTAGACATATATTGTAAGATCCATTAACTTTCGCATTATTTCATAAAAGCGGCTATCCTAGAGCAAAAGATATTTGGTAAAGCAACTGAGGTGGAGTACTAGTAAAGGGTAGAATACCTGGATCACTCGGTCTTCCTCAAGAATTGGTTTGGTTTAAATTTTTGCGTTGGACATTCTAATATGGTATCAGAGTTAGATTGTACCTTTCGCATCTGTGTCCACCCCGTTGGTCAAATTCCATGTCTCATTTCTAATAGGGCTTGCACTTGAGAGGGTATGTTAAAATATCCCACATCCTTTGACAATAGGATTTATATGCTTTTTACATACGTGCAGTCTCCCTTCATCTATTGGCTTAAACTTTTTGGTTGGACATTCTAACAATATGAACATTGATTCTTCCTATTCGAAACCAAAAATGCGCATATCAAACTGGTTTTGTCAGGTGTTAGCGGAAAAAGAAGTGACGTTTTTCCACAATCAAAGTTCAAATTTCCGGTTCCAATCACTATTAATCCTGAATGGTGCTTGATCGTATCTTTCTTTTTCTATTTGCCTTTGAGAAGAAAGACATCATTATTCCAATCCATTTCTGGGTACAATTCTTGCAGGATGGCATGCGCTCTTTTGGATATCTTTAATTACGTTGATTGTAAGTAGTGATGAAAACTCTCCGTTTGAGTCTCCACGTCTTGCAAATTCCAAATGAATGTTGATGAAAAGATGAGTCTATTTTTTTATCTAATTAGGCGTTTTCGCTAATTTGGCGCAGCTTTGGCTCATTGCCCACTTCAACTTGGAGAATATGATAAGACAACTAGCAAAAGAGGTTGCCAAAAACCCAACGGTTGTTGAAATTTCAAGCGACAAGTTCTGGTTCGGTAGGCCTTGTCTCGTCCGCATCCTGATTCACTTCGTGCTATTCGAGAACTCTTTGCAGCTTACTGTCTTCTTCTTTATATTGGTAAGCATAAATAACTCAAATCATCATTATCATTAACAATGTTAAGCAAAGTTTCTAGCATATGGTAAAAATTCCTACTAATGCTTTCTCGGATCTCTATGCAGTTCCAATTTGGTTTTCACTCCTGCATTATGGGAAAGGTTGGGTTTGTCGTCCCAAGAATAGCAATAGGGTAAGACCTGACCTATTGCTCATGTCAATTATGTCTTTGTTCTATGATCTGTGTGTTGTACATAATTAATGATTGAGGCCTAACAATCAATTTGGCTTCTGTGGCATTTGTCGCGGTCTCAGAACGCTCGTCCGGGTCTGGTGCACTTATAGAACATTACCACTATACGCAGTTATAAAATCACAGGTGAGTTGAACTTACAACCAATTATACACTCAAGATTTGATAGTTTTGTTTTCTCTCTGAGTTTAAATCACAGGACTGAAGATGCAAAATGTTTTTCATTTGTCTCAATGAAATTAAGATGAATATGAAGGAGAAGCAATCGGACAAACTGAAAGAAATGTGTCGTGATCTTGAGAAAATTATGACGCAGTACAAGGACCAATCGGACAAACGTATAAAAAAGTGTCTTGATGAAATTAAGATATGGTTGAAGGACAATCAAATGGACAAAGAGGGAGAAATGTGGATCGTGACCTGGATTTCGGAGTTGATTTGTAATAGAAAGAACCGAGGAAAGGAGCCAAACTCACGGGAGGAGTCCACAAATATTGAACCGACCCGAATGGATTCAAGAGAGGAATCTGTCGGAGTTGAGATAACGGAAGCCGGTGGCGTGAATTCAACAGAAGACATTGAAGCAAAAAAATCGACAACCAAGCCCACACCAACATTCCAAATAAATGTGTTCATGGATTGATTTACCTATGGAATTACGAGTTAACTCTTTTATATCAAGGCAAATACTATCAGGGCGAAATGTAACTATCACAGATTGCATCTATCTTAGGCAAATGCAAGTAAATAAGGAACTCTCATTTCATATAATTGTCTAGTTACAATAGGGAAAAGAACTGCCACTTTGCAATAAGATGGGTCAGGTATGTTCCGATAGTATGGACAGCTGAAGTTGGAGGGAGAAAAACACTGTAAATTTGTTCCAGTAGTTGCATTTTGCTCGATCAATTTCAACATGAAGACCCACCTATCTTTCTTGTCAATATCACATTTTCTACGTGGTCAATAGGAAATATGTAGATGTTACTTTCCAGAATGAAAGAGATTGACACAAGGGACCGGTTATGAGACCAAACGATGATCCAGCGTCTGAAATTGGTCAATCCAAAGCTGTAAATTCCTTCGTTCGTGCTCATTAAAAAGGTAAACAAGGCCATGATGACACAGAAACAATCATATCAATGAAGAAATGTCTTGGGATTATCGCTTTAAAAGGTAAATAAGACCAATGACTCGATTGCGCAAGATTCATTAGATCTTACATGATCTTCTCCACTTCTGCAATTAAACTAAAACGGTGTGAGAGATGTTTCAGACTAGAAGCAGCCATCAAACACCAACATGCTTAAATTAGAGATACAGACGCATTACCACAGCCAAAATCAAAACACGTAGAGCCTATCAAAAGACAATGGAACCTCAGCAGAATCCCAAAAATGATTTTATACATCTGATTTTTTATTATACATTCACGCCATAATACATCTTTTTTGGCAACATTAATCCTGACGTGAAGATTTTTATTTGGTTTTTAAAGTACTTTGCAATATTTATTTTTTCCCACACCTCCCTTTTTTCAGTATATGTTTTTTTTTTTCAATTTTACTACGGGGTACGGGTAGAAAAGGAAAACATATTGTTTACCAAGAAAATAATTTTTTGTTTTATGGCTTTAGAAGGAAAGAATTGGTGCGACCACAGCCGTACCATTTTTAAATTACGGTTATGTGGAATGAGTAAAAATTAGTTAGCCTATCTCACACTCAGGACTCGAAGAAAATTACCAAAAAAGTCATAAGCCTATTGCAATTGTGCCAATTCAGTCCAAAACTTTTTTTTTTCCAATTCATCAGTTCTAAACTTTTTCCATTTGTGTCAATTTAGTCCATTTGGCAAATTTTGGTCGGTCGGTGCCTGCCATCCAACAAACGCTGACATGACAATTTTTAATAATATTTTATTTTATTCAAAATTTTAATTTATTTTTTTTATTTTTTTTATTTTTCCTTTTATTTTTTCTATTCTCTTTTATTCTTTCTTTCTTTTTTTTCCCATAGTGGGTGGTGAGGCTCGGCAGCCACTAGGTGAGGGAAGCGAAGTCCTCACTGGCCGTCGGCGAGGGTCATGGGCGAAGGTGGCCTCGCCCACAACTGGCGAGGCCATGGCTGCCTTTGCTTGCGGCCCACAGGCCTCATGCCCAGATTTAGGCGAGGCCGCCTTGCCTACAGCCCCCAGGCCTTGTCGCCAGATCGCGAGGCACAACTGCGGGCGAAGGCGGCCATGGCCTCGCCATAGCTAGAATCTAGAACATAGTAATTGAGAAAAAAAGATTTGTGCAATTGATTTAGGATCCATTGTTCTTGATGCGGAATAACGACGATTTTGAACACAAGTGCTTCTCCTCTGTTATTCTTTGTGCGTAGCCATAAATCCTATTTTGTAGTGATTGAGATATGTTGACTTTGTATACCATTCCATTGTTAATAAACGAAATTATCATAGATTTATTTTGGTCTTGAAATTATATAATAATGGAAATAGCAACCCTAGTTGCCATCTCTAGATCTGTTTTACTTGTAAGTTTTACTAGGTGCACCTTATATACTGCTTTTGGGCATTCTTCTAAACAATTCACTAGCTCAATGAGATTGCCCCTCACGATTAGGGTTTAGTAATTGCTCTTGTGCATCCGGATTAGAGGAGAGACTTGAGTACTATTTATAGAGTTTTCGGCCACAGTTCAACACAAGCTAGGTTTTATTCTACTCACACTAGTCGGTCCCATATTAGACTAATTAAGAATATTTATATCGTACCTTATTAGACCAAGCCTGTAAAACGGTAAAATTATAATCTCAATTAATGTAGCCCACATCAGAAAAACTCTTACAGGCTGGCATATCCTCTTGTATTAGTAATTTTGATCACGTAAAATTCTAAAAAGAAAACCAACTTCAAAAAACGAGCAAATCTACCAAAGATAAGTGATACAATGAATACTATATAGTTGCATATATTAAACTATCTACAAGTAAAAGTTTTTAAAAAAATACAAGTAAAAGTCATAGAAGCTCTTTTCTTCTCCTGTGCACGCACACAAATTCAAGTTTCGGATTGGTAGCTGTCCATCATTTACTTTGCGAAGACAGGCTTTAATATATAAGTTTCACGCAAAAATACTTGAATTTAAGAAAATGAGTTCAAGGACCACCTTTAAATGAGTTCTTGTGGCATGTTTTCCCGAAAGAATCTCCCAGAACGAAAGATTAAATACACGAAAAAGTGAAAAAAAAAAAATCAAGTTTATCTTTGAGGAATTTGACGAAGTGGTCAAATGTCCGGTTTTTCACGTGATATTTTCACTTTCGAGTCACGTCTTTTGTCCAAAGTACCCTACACTATGGCCGGTACCCCACCGACAATATCTGAAAGGAGTTCTAATTTGGCGATGCACTTAGACAGGACGGTTTGAAAGTTTTATTAAGGAGTAGTCGAGTCGAAAGTTTAAAGCCCCCGCGCTAATAGAAAAAGGAGAATGATAAGCATCAAACTTAGGGCTCAAAACGGAGATATGAATCGATTCCCTGAAAGAGGAGGAAGGGATGATGACCCCTCCCACAAAAGAAAAAACAGAAGAATTATTCCTCAATGACTTCCGGTTCATTTATAAAGAAATAAAATCCTACTTTTACATTTTTAGATTTTCCTTATCTCACCCTTCACATGTGCTTGCTAACTCTCTTGTCCACTGCGTGCATGAAAGCTGATACATTTAAATTGGCCTAATTTCCTACAAAATCATAACTTTTGGTTCAATTTTTAATTTTGCCCCGAGCTTTGTTTTTGCCATAAAAAAATCATCAACTTTCATTTTAAGCCCAATACCGCCTAGGGTCCAAACACCAATTTTTTTCAAAATTATCAACATCAAGACCACTTAGAGGTTCATTATCAGATTCTATGCCTTAATCAACACCTCCACTTTCATATGGAATTATAGTAGATATTGATAATTTTGAAAAGAAAAAACTCATGGAAATTTTTGGACGAAGAATTAACAGGGTAAATTTGGAAGTAAAGTGCAATTTTGTGATTTTTTTAGACAAAAAAGTTCGAAGCAGAATTGAGATTAGACTTAAAGTTGGAGGTTTTTTAGAAAATTAAGGCTACCTAAATTTGAGACGGGAAAAAGCTGACGTCAACTCTTGCGTTATAGATTCTAAAAAATGACGTGGGCAAAGGAAATTCCGAAAGTCCATAGCAAGTCATTTTTTAGGCCGAAAAAATCAACAGCTAGCAAATCTTTTTTTAGAGTTTTATTTCCTCCCCGTCCCTCCCAAAGTCAATACTTAATCGCAGTCATTTTTTAGGCCCAAAACATCGATAGCTGCCAAATTCTTTTTATTAATTCCAGCATTCATTGCCAATACAAAAAAAAAAAAATTATACAAGCGGCTTTACTAACCCATGATTTGTTGGTTAGTGAAAGGGTTGGTGATTAGAACCCTCAAATTAGAGAAGTTTTAACATCAGCTTAGTTTATGTAGACCAAATCATAGGGTCCTCGCTTGGCTATGATTTTGTTCTAAGTAGGTTGAGTCTTTATAAAAAAAATTCTTAAATTAAGGGTGGATAAGATTACTTGTATAAAGTGTTGTTTATACCGCGGTGTATGATCTGATTTTTTTATTTTGGCCATATCCAGAAAAGCTACAAAAGTTGATTTATTGAAATTCTTATCAAGAAATGGTGGACTACTTCACCGTACAAAAAGTTCAGTAACTAAAGTTATTGCAACACGCTCTTGTCCGCCGAAGCCTAAACAACCACATGAATAATTTTCTTAAGACTATGGAAAGTTTTATTGCATTCTCTATAATTTTCGGTTATGATTTTATAGACATTCTTAAATCGGTCTACTAGTCTTGATCTAAACAGTCGTGAAGCGTTCACATATCTACTTCGTTCATAAAAAAACAAATATGAACGTGTGAATGGGAAGATTTTGTTTATCCATCTATATATATTATACAAGGTTCGTCTGTATTGTGTAGACATTAAGCAAGGTACCATCACTGGGGAGAGAGAGAGAGAGAGAGAGAGAGAGAAGGCTGCTTGAGAGAGAGAATGGTGGACGCAGGAGCGGAGGCCACGACGTTAGAGTTCACGCCGACATGGGTGGTGGCCGTGGTTTGTCGCACGATAGTGCTGATTTCTTTCCTTGTTCACAGGTTTCTTCGATGCGCAGGGCAGGTCCGCTCTTAGTTTCCTTTCTTTTACTTTGATTCCATCCCCTCCTGAGGTAGTCCTCTCATGATCTATGGTAAGCATTGTTGGGATTTTGGAACCAAAATCCCATAGAATTGAATGAGAAGTGTGTGGGTGAAAGTGTCTCACATAGGGTAGAAGAGAGATGGGAGATGGGTTCAAATAGTTGAGCCTCACAAATGGGTTTGGGCCCCAAGGGGTACCCCACTTTTGTGGAAGAGAGAGGACCTACGTCAAGCTAGGTCGGTCCACCTCCCGCGCGCGCGCCGCCGCCGCCGTCCGGCCGGCCGGCTCGGCTCGGTTCGGTTCCGGGTCCACGGTCCACTCTCTATCGGTTTTTTATTTTTTAGTTTTCGAACAGACACGTTGTTTAGAAATTATTTATTTATTTATTTATTTTTGGACAAACAAACA